TTTGTCATCTTAGATGGAAGCATCAAATTCGGAAAAAAAATATTCGACGATCCAAGCCGGGATGCATGGCATATGTGAAGCCACCATATCTTCCATAGGTTTGAATCATGATATTTACATAGAGGTTTTCAACTGTTCTGAAAAGCTATTCAACAAAATATTTTGTGAACGAGTATTGGGCAGTCGGTTGCACCCAACTGCACCATTCTTACTAATTTTTTTATTTTCTTGTTGCTCAACCTTCATATGTTTTTTTTACTTTGATATGCTAATTCAGATTTGGGACTCGTTTGCTCGAGGCGTTTTTAGATCTTCATATATTATTTTTGCTTGCATATTCGATTAACTGAACGATCAGTCGGCTCAGTTAGTCACACTTAACATTAAACATTTGAATGCATATAGATCCGTAAAGAATAAAAAGAAACATGATTATGAATATTAACGAAATACGATACACAAAAACTGCAACAAACTCTAGAGTAGCTAACCAGACAAACAAGATTTTCGAGCGATTTTACTGTTTTCGAGAAATGTATAAGCCTACAAATAAACTAAACAGTATACATATTACAGATTACAAAACATACACTAAAAAACTAAAGAAGAACGTCAAGATTTAGAAAGTTTTACAAAAATCATCTACAAAATACTTTAGCGAGTGGTATTTGAGGAACTTCCTTTCGCTTGGAAGTGAGTTTTTCAATGGGTTCTTTGTAAATACTATATCTTTAATTTGTTATCTATCAGCTTTGTTTTTGTTTTGTTTGTTTTCATTTTGGCTTCATCCATACCCTACATCTACTTGTATACTTGCGCATATCCGTCCACATATGAATTCAGTTCATCTATTGGATCAATCATGCTTAATTTAACAAAGAAAATGAAAAACTTTATAAAGAAAATTGTAACTCCTATCTGGAATTCTAGTTAATTTTATTAGACGAAATTTATTTGCGTGCATTCTTTAGCTTTAACCTAATATAAATTATTTTTGGTATCACCTTGTAACACCTTTTATAAGAAATTTGTGTAGACGAATAGATGGGAAGCAGGCAGAGCAACTTTAAAGACGTAAATCTAATTATATAAAAATATATATATATACAAATATATATATTTATGTATGTTAAGTCAAATGGGAATAAATATAAATAAAATGATAACTAAAAATATGTAACAAGGAAATAAATGATTTTTTATCAAATTGAACGTCGATTTCAGCAGAGGTAAGTGGAGCCTTCAATATAGAATTGCCAACCAAAATTATCAATAAATAGCAGAAACTCCTCAATGCTGGAAATATTACTCATACGGCTTATCAATCTTCAATAATGATTACTTATATGGGAGATCTATAAAGAAAATTATAAACACCTTGATCAAATTCAAATTGAACATCGACTGATGTATACTCTATTTACAAAGAATTAGACTTAAATACTCTATATTTAAGGCAGGGTATTTGTTAGTTAGTTTAAAATCTGTTATCTCTGTTTTTCATGTACAAATATCTCATAACGATGGCAAACAGCTCAATTAATGCTATCTATCACCCACACACGCACACACGTGCACGCCCTCCTTCTCTCGCTTTGTCTCCTGAACTCTGTTGCTCTCGTTATATGAATATCAGCAAAGTGAGAGAGAGAGAGAGCGCACAAGAATGAGTGCTCTGCGCACTTGTTGTTATTGTTGATTTCGCTTCTGTATTTATCGTGCATCAACGTCGTGTGTCGCCTCATCGTGCGCTGTGACGCGGGCCGAGGGGCTCGTTCGGCGCCGTCGACCAGCTGACCGAGCCGATTAGCGGCATTCGCTGCGGCGCTCGCCACAATGGCCGCTCAGTATATTACGAATCGTACTGTAAACGCCATCACGCCGCTGTTCTCTGAAAACTTGTATAGCACCTGTGGAATGTTTATTTTGAATCTGACGTAAAAGCCAACTATAACAACTATATCAAAAGCTCTACCTTTGAGACAATTTTGTTAAAGAAAGAAATACATTATATGTATGTATTGTTTGGCTAAAAATAATAAAATAAATTAATATTAAGCTTCTAATGAAATTGCGCCGTTTAAGTTAAGTTCGCTGGTTAACTCTTCCGCGCCCTCTTGCGATTAATCAACAAACTAAGCGCGTGTCGACAAATGCGTCTCTTTCACTCTCTCTCTTTGTGTGTGTGTGTGTGCTTGTGTATGTGTTGGTGTAGTGGAAAAATCACTTAATGCCCGCCCAGTGCATCGCTGATCGCCTTATTAATGTTAAAATTTATATGCAAACACATGTACATACATATGTATGTTCTTATATATTCATATGTATGTACGAGTGTATTTTTGTGTGTGTGTGTTTATAGCTTTGCAAATAGTAAACAGAGCCTCGTCTGTGTACTAAACGAAATGGCAATTGTATAAATTACCGGCATGTGGTCATCGCGTATATTTTGCTCTGCGGTACGCCCTTAGCGGCCCTCCCCAAAAAGCATCAACAGACTTTGTATTATATGTGCTAACGAGCAAATACCCTGTAAAAGACTGTTGACTCTCAAAGTGCAAGCCATGTGAATTCGATTTGTTGTCTGTTAGTGAATTGTTATGAGTTGCCCTGTTATAAGTATACCCTGTAAACGACTGTCAATTAATGCTCTAAGCGGCAAAGGGCTTAACACTAAGTTCATTGATAGAGTAGTTTCTTATCAGTCAACAGTTCGTACAGCAATTGTATGTGCAACAGTTCTTCCGGGTTCTATTCCTTGACATTGTATTACAATGCCTGATAATATTTACATATTTATTTTGATCGTAAATCGTTTACAACGAAGGTTTTTTTCTGATAAAAATAACTATCCAAACTCCTGGACTTCGGATTATTTTATTTCTATTGTAAATATAGGTGTGCATAATACACGCTTAAGGCGGTGTTTTATTAAGAATCGATCAAAGTTGATCTTGTGCATACATACAGTTAGCACTTAAATATACCCTACGCAAACAGTTCAAGGGTATGTAACAAGTTATAAATAAACAAAAAATAAAAACAAATATATTTGTTTGTTGTTCTCGAGAAATTTGCGCAGCGTATCGAAAAAAAAGAAGAATCAAAAACTGAAATTTCACAATTTAATAAGTGTTTACCAATTCTGTATGTATACCTGTAATTTCAGTATGATTCAAATGACATGATACCAACGTCTGCCTCTAGATTGACAGTTTAATTACGGGCTGGACAGTTGCTATTGAGTGCGTGCTAATGCTGGTGCCACGATCATTTTTCGAAAAGGTTCTCGAGTCGTACTGTACCCTAGGCCTGGCTGGGCAATTGTCTGTGCAAATATATGAGCCGGATTCGTACTTAGCTCGATCGGGGACTTCACTTCCACGAGTTTGTTTATAATGTAATTCGCGAGATTTAAAAAAAAAAAACAGGTTTTCGGTCTCGCTGAAAAAGCTCGACTCATTTGCATTGTTAAGGCGGGCGGGCTACGCACGGTCAAAGAAATCTTCAAAAAAAATTGATTTCAAAAAATGTCATCATTTGCATAGCTAACAAAAATATAATATGTAGTTTCCAAAGCTCAACTAGATAAGCTTCAATTAACTAAGCACATCGCGGCAGCATCTGAAGCTTGCAAAAAGCTCCAGCTGAAGCAAGATCACAGCCAGAGCCAAGACTCTTAAAGAATAATTAACTTTATATACAGACTATATAGTCAAAGACCAATGGAACTACCAGCTTTGCCCTTCTATAAAAATAAGACAAATCAAAGCTTGGAAAGTTTTTTTTTCGAATTAAAAACACGTTCCTGAGTTGAAAATATAAAAACAACATACAGTATAGCCTGGCTACATACGATTTGCTACAATGTATGGATTATGAAATCGTCTGGAATATTCAAAAATATAACATGAAAATAGAATATAAATATAAAACAAATATTGAAAATTCAGAATTCATACAATTCTAGTTAATATACATAAATATACTATCAGAAATTAGGGTTTCGATTGAGTCAGTTTCCCGCTTATTCAAGCTTGATTGTACCAGACATATTTTTGAGTAGCACTTTTTATATGCCAATTAGATGGACAAACTTTTTTAGTGGCCTCATCAATTTACTACATAATGT